CTCGAATGTCCGTGAAAGGTGTTCAGGGAATATGTCACGAGAGGGTGGCGGTGAATTACTTGACGTGCACTTAGAAAAAAAAAACAATTGCATTTTAGATATTGAAACAAACCCCTGAAACTGAATACAGTTTAAATCCTCACTGTCACATAACATCACCAGGTTTGTACATGCAAATATTTGGTTCGCGTGCCACGTTAGTATAAGTGCTTTACAATAATAATAATAATAATAATAATAATAATAATAATAATAATAATAATTTAGTATGTTAAAATATTATAGTATGATAATGAAAACCACAGTGCAATGGATATACTTGTGTTTGTGAGGGGAAAGAATTAACTTTAATCAAACAGCAGATGTAAATTATCATGCCAAATCCAATAGATTGGAATCATTATGCACTTATACAGCACTGATCAACAGATGAATATTGAAAGCTTGCTACATGTAAATATGCAGGTCACAAGTGAGTTTGTAGGTGATAGTGTCCTGGAGAGCATTAATATACAATATTCGTTATTCGCCATTCCTGCCTAGTAACTGGCCAGCCGTGTTGAATTAAGAATCAAGAAAGAAACTTCCTATATAACTTCATTTATGAGTTCTGTTTTAACACGAACATAATCAGCACCTCTGTAGCAATGCATCCCTGTTGCAATCGCATTTGGGCACGTTTGTATACGCAATTCTTCGTACTCAAACATTGCGATAGAGCTCCTGGTCGATTTGCCAGAATTCCGGAAAATAAGGCTTTTATTTCTACCTTAATTGGTACAGAAATGAACAGATTGGTAAAATACAATGCCGTCACTTTTCCTTTTCTTTCTATTTTCTTTAATGAGAAAGGTTGTCTTTTGGTATTATAAGATACATGTTGAAACCTAAAACAATTTTATTAATTCTTCATTAGATTGCAAATGGCGTATGATTTTTCTATGGAATGTATGGCCATTATCTGTCAGATAATGGTGTTCAAATAAAAATAAACGGAACTTATTATGCTACTAGGTGAGCCTACATAGTAGTATAGGACCTCACTACTGTATGTTCCTGGCCTGACTGCCCAGCGTATAGACAGGAGAATGTTTGAATGCATACTAGAAAAGCACTCAGAGAGTGCAGACCTCCGCCAAGGCAGCAAAGTCTCCATCCAATGCCGTTTCACCCCTAAATTTTCGATATTTTTGATTATTGATTTTGATCCGGATCACCACCAAAAACTAATCATCTGTTCCTTGGCCCACTTCTGACAGTTCCTGAAAATTTCATCAAAATCGGTCCATAACTTAGTTTTCTGATTATTGATTATTGATTGATTATTGATCCGGATCACCACCAAAAACTAATCACTTCTAAGTTAACCCATTTCTGACCTACCCTGAAAATTTCCTCAAAATCGGTACATAACTTTTAATTCTGAGTTATGTTGATGACAAACAGACAGAAAGACAGGGGTGAAAACATAACCTCCTTGGCGGAGGTAACTATACGGATATATATTTCAATTTAAACCGATTTATTGAAATGAGATACTTTTCATAAACCCTGTGTCGTACATTAATGTGACACTCACGTTCATAGAACAGAATTGATTCGTTACAGAGGATTATTCTGTACATCGGGTAGGAAATGACAAAGTGGGCCAGTTACCCCCCCCCCCTTAACTTCAGGGATACCCCTTCTTCCCCCTCCGCACTAACAAAACAACGTATAACGTGCGAATTGCGGCAAAACAAAATGATTATTTCATTTCAGTGCTCATTTATAAAATACAACATCCTCCAATGTGATGTAAGTGGTAAATATGTCTGGCACTCGAACCAGTAACCAAATCATACATGTATATACATGTACATGTAATTGTAATAATTACAGGTAATAATCAAGGTACATTGTAACTACAGTCAGCATTCATATACTTAAGAAAAAAAATAAAAGTTTGCGAGAGGTCCTAATGAATAAGTCCCAAGGTCCGACAGTTTGACAGAAGTAGCAAAAATTAGTATCCTATTGAACATACTTGCACATAGTTGATCATCATGTCCGACACAATGCTTTTTCTACCAAAATGTAAATCGAATCGTCATTTTTGTTCTTTTTGTGTCCAATTATGGTATAGGGCACACATGTATATGATGTTGTTCGTGGCTCTAGGAAAGACTGCTATTATTTGCTCGTTACTAGTTCAAACAGTGTATGTCTGAAACGTTCTCAGTTAATGCACCGACGCCTCTTGAGGTATTTTTACATTGAGGCAGTCCCATGTATCAGGCCCATGGCTGCGGCGTAGTTTAGAGATGTCTAACTTATAATACAATCTGGTTCTTGTCGTCGTGGGCGGAGAAGTCGTAAAACAAGGTTGCGACTCTCTAGAATTCTCATCGGATTGAAGTAGTTGTTCATTATCCAGGACAATTTGAAGCACATTATCTTCCGCACTCGTTTGCGCTGTCCGCCGATCATGATACTGTCGGAGACGAGAAAGGTATGGCTTACGGCGCTCAGCTCGTAGAACTCGTTCGAGGAATCACCGCACATCTCGTCGCTGTGGAAGATGATTTTGTTTGTCAATTCATCTGGGCTGATGAGTCGACACAGGGCCATTAGAAGATCGGTGTCCTCTTCCGACAGTCTCCAGTAGTTCCGGAAGTCCCGCAGACGACGGGTGTTCCCAGAGTTATCGACTTCAAGCAAGCAACAAATACAGTTGAAATAGTACATCAACTTGGCTTTCGGGTCGTTTGGAACGGTGACTGACGAGCCGGTCTTTCTCAACCCAACCTCTGTTCTTTCCATAGCAGCAGCCATTTCTGCTCAGCTGATGTGGAATCTTTGAGCTAGCAAAATGAAGTTGTTTACCTCGCAAAGACGAAGATCTAAATACCAAAATAATAAGAGCCCTGGTAGTTCATCAGCTAATTGTATATCAGTCCCGCCCAGGAGCCATTCTAGGCACTTATGTGCATCATGTTGTCAACAACAGATAACAAAACGAAACCGAAACAACCCGCGACGTAACAGAAGTAGATGAAAATTTGTTAGTGATGAAATAATGCGTCTACGGAAATTTCGTGATTGCATGAAATATTTACTTAGCAAATTCTTCATTCGAGGCACAAATTTACAGTAAATGCATAAAAGGTACAATTATTTACTTTGAATGTGAACTCTTCTCATGTACGCCCTGTGAATTTTATCTATGTCCTATGATTACAATCAATCCCTGACAACCGGTGATATATTTATTAATGATTTACTAATGACATGTGAGTTGTGGTTATTCATTAGGACCTACCTTCATCTGCCTAAAGTAGATAAATAGATGGAACATAAATACATGTATGCTGTATAATAACAATGTATAAGAGTAATAACCTTACATTTTATATGGAAATGTATTTAACATCAAGTTTTAATTGGAACTGATGAAAAATTGATATGGTGAGGATGAGATGCAAAAAGTTATAAAGTTGAAATCTGTTCTCACAAAAGTGAAACCAACCTTGATAATGCTGGGCCAAAATTATAAAATTTTAATTTAAGAAAATGCTGACCTCGTTTTCAGAATCAAATTTCTAAACTTTATATTAACTTTTTTGAGGGTCAAATTCTAAAGTTAAATATAAATATTTTATCACATTTAAGGTCCCAATCACAGATGCCGTTCAGGAAATAAATTGTTAGAGATTACTGTAGATATCAGGTCTCTCTCAACATGTCGTGTGTGTGTGTATATATATATATAATGGCTTCTTCCAACTAAGTCATAAAAATATACAAATATTTTGATGAAATCGGAAATGTCATATGACCGTGAGCTTTTGCATTTAGACTAGATTTTCCCTTATACATACGCTCGAAAACACATACACAGTCAAGGAGCACACGCAGGCGACAACCTTTGCTCCTGCACAAACACTCTGACGCCCTCATGTAACAATTCTTGATATTGCAATAATGCGCTTCGTCTCAACAAACACAATTTGCGTCTAAATTTGAGTACTCAATTTATTTGACAAGGTTGCTAGTTATAAAACACAATTATTTAACAGATTCACTTCTCTATTCATTTATTCGTTCAGTTAGGTGGATATGTAGTTATACACTTTAAGGTGGTTGTGCTAATTGACTCGTGTTGAATAATTAAGAATTATTTTCAATATGCTTAACTGAACATTTTACTCATTTTGCTGACTATGAATTTTTAAAAATTCCTGAGCCCCAACCTGAGGTGAAGATACGCTCAACCAGGGCCGCAGTTTTTTTTATTATGCGGACATATTCTCTGATGCTCACAATACAGATTGTAACGGTAAATATAACCAGAGACATATCTGTGAATATCTACTGAAAAATCAATCTGTGGCCCTGGTAGAGGGTAGGGGGAAGAACACACATTCCCCGTACAAAGTGATACATTTATGACATCTGCTCAACATGTTTACTCGGTTGCAATCGATACAGCACGGGGTTTGTTTACATAGAGTTATCTCAACAGGAAAAGAAGGAATCTTTACCACACAAACAGGCTAACAACAACATGAGTGTTTGCTCGCACCTTCTTGACAATTGGCGGACAATAAAAGGCCGAACGCAAAAGAGTCTAATGGCGTTTTCAGACAGCGCAAATATTTAGTTGACTTTTTTTCTCGACAGTTAAATTATTTGTTAGGTTTTTTTCTTTGGATATGACCTCCTGTTGCTACGCGCGATGTGTTCTAAGGGGAGCTAAGATGAAAACACACTGACCTATTTTATACCTCAAAATATTTTTCGAACGCTTACCTGTGTATAAAAAGTAAGCCGGCCAAAAGTTCAAAACAGGCAAAGTCCAAGTTAACTTGGGTCCTCTCCTGTACTGTGGTACAAACAAAGCGATTAATTTAACAAGAAAAATGTGTAAGTGTGTGTATGAGAGAGAGAGAGAGAGAGAGAGAGAGGGAGGGAGGTAATTACATTATACACGCAACTACGAGTAACAAATGCAAATCAATACTGTTTTATTGGCAAGAGTTTTCCACGTGGCCCGTGCATAAGATTATCCTTATATTACCATAGCAACAAGGATGTCAAAACACTGTATTCACCCGCTTGATTTCAGCCACTAGGTTCATTTGACCTCATACTTGTTCGTGGCAAATCCTCTCAATTTGTCAAGGTTTCTTTATAAATAAAACTCACTTTCACATATAGCTTTATGCCATAAACCAAAGTAACTTTAAAGACTTTTTCCAGCAGCTATAAATGCCCAGCTAACTCCATTACGTGCAATTTTCTCCAAAAAGTATTCCAATAATTAAAGGACAACGCCCCATGATCAAATTACGATATAAGTTAAAAAAAAGAAATAACGACTGTATGAATAGCTTTTGTGCTTTAACAATTAATTGACGTACTAAGAGTGCATAGTGTCATATGGCAACTAGTTTGTGTATATATAAGTTACACTCTATATATTCTATTGCACTACAGTGAATTAATGTTGGATTTCTTGGCGAAGGCCAAAAGCATTTTCAAAATCACATAGCAGGTCTTCTTCTTGACCGACATTAACTATCACGCAAAATGTTTGACACTAATCCTAGGAATGAACTATTACAACCATTTAATCCTTGCTGACGTAGAAATACATGTATAGCTCAGGAATGAGCCGTGGCAAGCAAATCACAGCGGTTTAAACCCCTCCATGTGTGCAGCCTTACTGGATCCTAACTGAAACATTACGGCACCATGTCGCTTACTTTCTATGGGAGGGAGCGGTTTCGGTTTCGTTTTCTTCATCACGTATTGGTTGTTAGGGACAGTCAGTTTCACCGGGTTTGAATTTTGGCCATTACCCACTAAACCCGATCCCAAAGCGGGATCCAGTGTCGCTACTCTGCCGGTGATGGTTTTGCGTAGACTGTTAACGTTCCGTTCCGTTTTCCCGCCGCGATAGCTTTGACTAGGTATTTGACTGGCGTATATATGACGTTGGGCCGCGTGCTCGATTTCTCGTTCAACGTCTTCTTTACTTTTAAAATTGGGGTGGATGTAAGGATCCGTTCGTGGTGGGTGGAATCCGAAATCCGTTAAGACAAAGTTGCTTACTTTAAAAGCTGGCACAACGCGTTTCATTTGTAGCTCCCTGGCGTTAACTTCACTGTCATCAGCAGACTGTGATGTGTTTTTACACGAGTCGTCTTTCCCCTGGGCTCCTTTCTCTTCGGGGATGGACGGAAGGGATTTCGAAACTAAAGTCAGGTCTGGCGATGTTTGTTTTTTCCGAGACTTCTTTGCAGTCTTAACAGGATGGGAGGCACCAATGCCTTGTAAAGCACCGTTCCCAGTAAACATTTGATTGTTTCCATTTTTCACAGCGGGCAAGAATGGTTTAATTTCTTTGTCCGAACTTCCTTGCTCTTCTCGTACCTTATCCTTTTTCGTCTTGGTATATACAAGCTCGTATTCGAGGGGAACCGGTTCTTTTTCTGGGGAATCTTTCGTGCCGAGATTCCGAACGTAGACAAGTTTATCCCGCGTAAGTCCCCGCGGGAGACCAAGTCGTCTCATCGTCCCGGATTTATCCCGGAACATAAACGCCACTCGCTTCTCCATCTGAGGGTACTTAGTGAGGAAGTCTTCCAAAAGATCCTTCTGTTCGCTCTCAATCTGAAATGATATAAGAAGAAGTATTAAAAAATTGAATGTAGTCTTCTTGGTTGTCGTCTTTTCTTTTTTAACAGGTATAAAGCGCTTATTCATATCGATCAGATTTGCCATATTCTTTTGTTTTTATTTAAGATGAAATTCTAATGCTTCATTTTAAGTCGTTAAGTTATATTTGCTGCAGTGTTGTAAAATTTATTTCTATTCGAACAGGGCACGCAATCGCGTAAAAACATTGGTATTTCTTCTTTTTTTTAAAGCTGGATATTTGAACATATATGTTATGTAACCAGGGCGGATAATGCAGAGTTGGACGCTACAAAAATAACAAAAACAACATGCAACATTCCTACAAATTCCTTTGGTTTAATCATGCATAATTTGGACAGTGTCGTCGCATAAATGACGGAGTCTGGTTACAAAAACACAAATACAATATGCGCCGACACTGAACCCTTCTTTGGGATCGTATTTCAACACACACACACACCAAGCAAAAATATAAACGCCCTACTCATTACTTTAAAAAAAAAAAAAAAAAAAAAAAATATATATATATATATATATATATATATATATATATATATATATATATATAAATATATA